TTTTGACCATTAGAGGGCAAGGGCAGGCAATTGAGGCAAAAGATGCGCATGAGTTTCTAGGTGTACCTGACAGTGGGGAGGAAGTGAAATCTGATGTTAGTGAGGATGACCCGGAATACAAGAGGTTGAAGGACACTTATTGGAAGGTTCCATTTACCCAGATACTGAAGAGGATATTATCTGGGGAAGAAAGCGACAATTTTGAGTTCCTATTTATGCTTTATACAGTTGGAGCTTTTCTATGTCCTGGGTCAAGCACAACTGTACATATACGTTTGTTGAAAGTGATGCGTCACACGATGAATGGGTTTTGGAAATATGATTGGTCAACGTACATAATCAAGAACCTGTGGAAGGAAATGGGAGACTTTGTGAAGATGACAAAGAAGAAGAAGAAAGGAACCTGCAATGTTGGAGGGTGTCTTTATTTGCTGCTGGTAAGTCAATATTTTTCTTATGGTTCACTATATTTTGTCTTTGTTATTGTTGCAGAAGTGTGACCTATCTTTATTTGGTTTTGCAGCTGTATTTTGTTGAGCGTTTCCCGCTGGGATTGTCTGTTGACCGGGGTTCAACAAGCGCCATTGAATATTGGACCGAGGAGAAGATAAAGGAGAGGGTGGAGAAAGAGAGAGGCAGCAGCATGGGAATATTGCATGGAAGCAGTGGCAGCGAGGTATACTCAGCAGGACATGAGGACAGTTCAATTTTGCAGTCTTTAGATCCGGTATGTGGGAACTTAGAAAATATACGTGACCTGAGTTTAAGTCAGTCTATTAGCAAGGTTGATACTTGAGATGACAAGACTTTATTTAGAAATGACCAGTGAGATACTGGCATTTGATAACAGTGAACAATTTTTTTGATATCTTCATTTACTGTGTATGCAGGCATTGAAGGAGTTGAGGGCTCGTTTTGTGAAGAAGCTTGAAGAAAGCCAGAGGACGTTAATGAAGGCTCTTGATGATGAGCTACTCAAATTGCAGATTGGATTGAACGCCAAAGTTAAGGGGATGGGGAATGAGAATGCCACTGCTAAAGAAGGGGTTGAAACAGTTGGTGATGCAGCTGGTAACGATGCTGAAGAAGCTGATGATGTTGACCGAGTGGTGGAGGAGATTGCAAGAGAGGTTGCAGCGGGAAGTGCAGATGAGGAACTTGATGAGGATGAAACCAGCAAAGGAGATGATGAGAAGGATGAGGATGAGGAACAACATGACCTTCATGACAGGGAAGTCAGTGATGATTACATGGTTGAGGAGGTGGAAGAAGAGGGTGACCGTGATGGTCATGGAGGTGATGACGACGACGACGAGGATGAGGAGGAAGATGACCATGATGACAGGGAAGGAGGTCATGTGGTTGATGAGGAGGAAGATGACCATGATGACATGGAAGTCAGTCATGATTATGTGGTTGAGGAGGCCGAAGATGATGATAAGGAGGTTCGGGATTCAGATGATGAGGGGGAGGAAGCTACACATGTACTGACAATGACCCTACCAATGTTCCTTTGCTGTTGGATCGAGAATGGGTGAGCAGTGACAGTGGGGAGGAAGGAGGGCCTGAAAAATCGATTGACCTTCGGAGGTCAACAAGGGCAAAGAGTTCCACAATTAAATCTCCGTGGATAGAATTCAAGGCAGCTCCGAGGACGAAGAGGCCAAAGGAGGAAAGTGACATCTTTTTCACTTTAATATCCCGTAGACCCAAGGGAGAGGAAGAGGGGAATATGTAAGTATATCCGTAGCTAGTGTTTTGTTTTTAAATGACACAGTGTGCCCTGAAAATGACAGCAATAGGATTGAAAATGACAATAACATACATGGGAATGACAAGTATTGATGTCCCCAACACCATACTTTCTGTCACTGACATCTGACAATGTTTGCAGGACTGTCATCAAAATGTTTGATGAAGATATAGACCGACAACAGCTGTTTTCCCTGGGTGGAGTGAACAGAGTAAATAACAGGGTATTTAAGAATGCTCTGTCCCTGCACCCACGATTATGTTTGATAATGTTTGGTGAGATTATTGTACCAGAATGACGTTTTCACTTGTGTTCTGTAGGTGCTTAATTTGGTGTGCAAGGCAGTGATGGAGGACATGAAGGCAGAGTTGGGGCCAGGGAAGAGGCACATTTTCGATGTTGATTTCATGGTGAGGTTGCATAATTCCAAATGCAAATACCAATGACAGCAATTGAATTGGAAATGACTTGTTCTCTGTTAATGGATTAACAATTTCATGTCATGCAGAACATGATGGCACATGATCCAACCTGGAAAGCCCAAAAATATAAGAAGCTCTTTCTTCCTGAGTTCGTTGGCTACAACTTAGCTGAATGTGATTTCATAATTGGTCCTGCTCTTGTTGGCCAACACTGGTTTTGCGTTGCCATTCAGCCTAGCACATTGGATTTCCACGTAATAGACTCCATGAGGAACCATTTCGGAACCAAGGACAGAAAGCAGAAGAAGAAGGTTGTCATCAAAGACCCAGTGGAAATGGCTGTGGATGATTGTGTAAGAAAAAACTCATTATCTTTACCCTAGTTTTTGAACTTGGAAAATCATTAAACTTTCTATGTTGGTCCTGAATGTTGTTGCAGAGGAAGAGGCTCAATATTATACTGGACTTGGTCAAGCCAGGATTGGTTGGGAAAAAGCCAATGTCTCCCATGATATTTGCAGCAGTTCCCCAGCAGAATAACCTGTCAGTTTTGTCAAATTCGATTTCTGTGGGGTAAATGCACATGTCAGATGTGTTAACTAACTGTGCTGATATTGTTGCGTCCACAGGAGGGATTGTGGGGTGCACTGCATGATGTGGCTGAGAAGATGGGAACCTGGTGTGACCCTTACCTACACAGAGGAAGAAGTTGCTGGCTTTCGTCGTGACCTGACATGGTGGTTGGTCAATCATGAACAGAATGAAAAACGTGACGAGGCATTGGCCCTTATTCGACGACCACAAACCAACCAAGAGCAAAGTCCAAGAAAAGGCGTCGGTCTTAGGTGTCTCGATGTTAGGGTCATAATTCACTTGTCCTCTGTTAGATTGCTGTATGTAATGTGCATTGTAGGCTGACCAAAAATTTACTGTGTATTGTTATGGTTAACAAAGATTGGTGTCCATAAATGTATGATAGTTGAGAACCATGATGCCAATTTATTCCCCAGTGACATGAATGAATCTGGTTTTAACCACACAAAAACAGATGCTGACAACAACCCATTGGACATGTGCTATTGGTTTTCATTTTTTGTTCAGGTCACTAAATTTTACTTCAATATATCCTGTTGGTATCCAACAGAAAATGACCAGAACAAATTTAAAAATGATACGAAGTGAAGCGAATATGACAGCGATAATGACAAGGATCACCTGGTCTGATTTTACAACATCAGTTCAGCACGGCTGTCAGCTTATGCTGATAGCATCACTGCCAATGACCAGAACAAATTTAAAAATGACACGAAGAGTGAAGCGAATATGACAGCGATAATGACAAGGATCACCTGGTCTGATTTTACAACATCAGTTCAGCACGGCTGTCAGCTTATGCTGATAGCATCACTGCCAATGACCAGAACAAATTTAAAAATGACACGAAGTGAAGCGAATATGACAGCGATAATGACAAGGATCACCTGGTCTGATTTTACAACATCAGTTCAGCACGGCTGTCAGCTTATGGCTGTCAGCTTATGCTGATCACTGCCAATGACCAGAACAAATTTAAAAATGACACGAAGTGAAGCGAATATGACAGCGATAATGACAAGGATCACCTGGTCTGATTTTACAACATCAGTTCAGCACGGCTGTCAGCTTATGCTGATAGCATCACTGCCAATGACCAGAACAAATTTAAAAATGACAACAAGTAATGCGCCATTAATAAAAGCTAACATCCCCATAACAGTAACTTCCTTTCATGTATTCAACAAGTGGACATTAAGATACTAGCCACACTTAATGATCCGTTATCACTGAAATAACTATCAGCTTACTTACAAAAAAATGTCTCCACCTAGCTCCTAACTACAACCCCAGTCCCAAAAAAGTTGACAAGGGCAGAGCATACAACTATGTACACCAAAAAATGACCCATCCCCACTGTACTCGAAACTTCATGATGGGTTAGGATTTCGCAATTCCTCCTTGTGTGTCCAGGCTGGTGGCATCTTCCACAGTGGTATATCCGTTTGTTCTGGAACTGTGATTCATCCCTGTTTACTTTTGGCCTTCCTGGTGGTCGGGATGTCATGGGAGGTAGCAAGAAAACTTGCTCACTGACATTTTCTATTCTATAGTAGTCATTTGGGTGAGGCATGTCTGTTGTTACCACAGGAATCATACTGCGAGCATAGATCTTTTCTTGTGATGACTTTTATAGCAATTATCAATATAATCATAAACATTGCCGTGCACAATCTTGATGGCAGCACAAGCATGGGAACAAGGGATCCCCGTCATTTGCCAAGATCTGCAACTGCATTGGTGTAGTCCAAGATCAACCCGATGGTCTCCACGTGATGTTGTCACCTTCACTCTTCCCCCACCATAATTTTCAGCATACATATGGTCAGACCCAGCCACCATATCCAGCACCTTACTCTCTATATTTGGACCAACGCAATTCTTCCATTTGGTCATACCCACATAGGAGGCATGCAGCTTTCTTGCAACTTTATCTCGGTGCTCATAGATCAATTGGGGTACAGTATGCTTTCTCTCATTCACCATCCATGCATTGAATGATTCTGCTATATTGGTTGTAATATTGTCCCATCTTTTATATGGGAACCTACTTTTAGCCCACCTATCTACATCCCCATGATGAATAAGCCAATCAAATAGCCTTGGAGAAAAGGATCTCATGTCATCCATTGCTGCCTCAAATTTCTCATCCGTCCTTGCGTATGCAATTTTATCCAATAAATATAGTGCATCCTCCTTTGATCGGCCATTTGTCCTTGTTTGCCCCTTATTCATTTCATAACTTCTGAACTAAAATTCTCCTTGATGTGTCTATAACAAAAGGCATGCCTTTGACCCCCAAAGATTGATGCCACTCCTCCGATGATAGCATTGTGTCGATCTGATACAATCGTTACTTCCACAGAACCCAGGATTTTTTTTATCATATAGAAAAACCACGTCCAGTCATCTAGTGTTTCTCCCTTCACAATTGCAATTGCAAATGGCAGCAGCTCGTTATCTGCATCATAAGCTGAAGCTGACAACATTGTCCCCTTGTATGGTCCGCTTAAGTGAGTTCCATCAACATACATAATATGCCTCGCGCCACCCAGGAAACCCTCAATGCATGCCCCGTAAGCAATGAAAACACGCTCAAACCGGTTCCCAATAGCAGTCCATTCAGCCACTGATTTTTCATCTGTTTCCTTTATCCTTTCGCATAGCCATGGTATGAGCATGTATGATTGTTCGGGCCTGCCATATATGTCTTCCAGTGACTTCTCTCTTGCTCTATAAGCCTGTTTATATGTTAGATCAATCCCATACTCTCGTTTCAACCTCTTCCTTATCTCAGAAGTGCGCTTGTCTGCATGATCCCTCATCTCATCAATTATTATTGATGAGTTCAAACTAGCTCTTCCACTATGCATCACGTCCAAGCTATCTTGGGCAGAATGAACATGCCGGTTTATAAATGTCGTCACTCGTAGCACATCACAACTCTTCCCCACATGATTTGCACATAGCTTCCATGGACAACCCTCAACTTTACACCTTATCGACATGAATTCCTTGCTATTCCTCATATACTTGGCCACAAACTTGTTTGCAAGTGCAAACTTGTATACAGACACCCGAAATACATCTGCACTAGGAAAACGTTGGCCCACTCCTGTTAAAAGTCCCCTCCATTCCGCATGAACCATCTCACTACCATCCGTATCTTCAGCTCCGATAGATTTATCCACATTAGGGGGCCCACTTATTTCATCATTGTCACATTCACGAGCATTTTCTTCACTGAGCCAGCCATAATCACAACACAAACTAATGGGAGACGCATCCAGTTCAGTTTGCTGTGACATGCCCATGAATCTCTCTGTTCTGCATTCATAATGACAAGACTCGTTAACACAAATGACAAGAAGAAATTCATAAATGACAACAAATAGTTAGGACAAACTCCACTTACATTTCTACATTGTCCCTTGGTTGGGGACCCACTTGTCTTTTTTCGGCGACATACACATGACCGCTGTTCCCATTGTATTGAAAGAGGTTATACATTTCAGCATTGTCATGAAGGTCAATCAATGTCTTCTCATCAAAGGCCACTGTGTACTTAATGTCATAATTTCTTCCATCGCCACCAATCCACTCAGATATCATTAGCCTCAATTCATCAAGTGTCAGCCCATCCTTAATGCTTCTTAACCTCACGCCACCTCCATTATATCTCACTTCACCTTCACCATTTGTCACAAATTTCCCCCCCACATGAAAATAACAGAACAGCTCCTTCCCACAAGATGACCCAGCTGCGAAATTCATTTATCTTCATTACCTGCACTGATAACATAACAGAAGTCGAATGATTATATGACTTAATACCATCATCATCAACTTACACGACCAACTTAGGGTTTGACACATTCATGCTTATAATTTGCAACAAAACAATCATTTCTTTCCTGTCCACACTAATGCTTCGTTTTCTCAGAATCAATCCACTCCATTATTCGAATCTCCCTCCAACATTGTCCATTTATCTGACACTAATCACTCTAACCCACTTGTGACGCCATCAAACCCCTCTCCCTCAGTGTTTTTCCTTCCCCCTGCATTCACCCTCTGATCACCGTCCTTCCCCCCACACTTTCTATATACCCACGCCGTCTCCATGCTTCGCCACCCTCTCCACCTCAAAACCATCCCCACATCGACGACATTGCCATCCAACGGGAAGAGGAAAATCAACCGGCGCATAAAGGAGAGGGACAAAAGACACAGGCGAACAATATAGTCACTGGATACTAACCTCGCTTCCGTCGTTCAGTTGTTGCTTCGCGCGTTCATGCTCCCACGTTCGTGGTCCCTCCCAACTTTTTCCTCCAGCTCCCGCCACAACTTCCACACTTCCACCGGTCACTTTTTCGGTTTGCATATGAGGGGCTGTTTTGTAATTGTGCAACATTTGCATAATCCCAAATCAGGCAACACTTCCCTATCTGGTAATACATTTGCTTAGCTTCCCATTCTGGCATTTTATTATTTCAGCCTTCTTTATCTGTCATTTTCCCATTTTTTTCTTTACCCTATAAATAAGACTAGAGTAATAACTCTTATATTAACTATGCTATATTTATATCATGAACACCATTAATAGCGGTCTTGATCAGCGTTTTACTCATGCAGCAATTGGGGCACCCTTGTTTCGTTGACTTCACACTTCACTCTCCGCAATGATCGTTAGTATATATATCGCCGAAACCCAATAGAGTATACATGGAGTGGCACTTGTTTTGGAGAATTCATAATCGTTTGCGGCCCAGATGGAAACTCTGCTCTGGGTGAGACAACAATATGGCAGTGCTTAATAGGATTTTTGCCCAATCACCCAAAAATTGGAACGCAGGGAACTAGGCTGAAGGATGCAGGAGCAATAAATCATTTAGTTGCGGGGGGGAAAAAAAACAGAATTACCAACAGAAGTTGGCTCTAATAAAAGAAATCAGTTTATCACAATATGATGAATTAAAAATTAAAATTTTCATTTAGTATCCAATAATACTTCTGTCACGATTATCCTTTTACACCAATAGAGTTATTTCATTTAATTTGAATCTTAATTTTAAAAGCCAGGTTCCAATCCTGGGGAAGACATTTTTTTTTTTGCATTCCCAAGCACAAAGTTTGATCCTGTTCAAGGAATGGGATTTTCTGAAAAGTTTTAGACTTTTCAAAAATTCGCTTTCAAAGTAACATGTCTAGTGGTTT